TATCAGGTTTTTGAAATTAATTTTCTCACAAACTAACAAACTAATTGCAATGGAGTTTTTTTTTCAGGAGAAGCTCCGAACTTGCACTTTATTTTTATTGGCTTAAATTTTTTTTACAAAATTTCCTTTTTGAGTAAAAATTAGACGATCAAAACTTTTCAACCGCCCCACGTATTATTTGGAAGATGTGCAAATTAAGTCAAAGCGACAGTTTAGAAATTGATTATTTTGTACGCGCGGGTGGTAACGTTTGTTAAAAGCGTCAGGTAAAAATGTGTACAATGGTACAATTAAATTAGAAAAATTACCAATTTCTTCATCGTCAGCAATGAGCATATATTCAGTATGTTGTGAGACATAATGTCAAAGCAAATTTTTTGGTGCAATAGAGTGAAACAGAAAGTATCTGTTAAATAAGGCTTGTGTTTATATGTTTGCATGATTACGATAAAGACTTTTAGTTAGCGAATTGTATATTGTCAATATTATATTCACAATTTTTATATTTCTTTGTATAAAAAAATAATTAAGTTCGGCGATAATTTTTTGTATTCATAAGCGTATCGTTTTTTGATGGTAAAAAATTACTGCATGCTAAGATGACAATTTTTTTTAGATGTGGTTACCAAATGCTAGCGTAATGGAGGATGCAATGTTGTGTTACATAACATGTGATACTCACAATATTGAATTTTTTTTTTCGACGTAATAAAATAAGTAGTCTAACTCGTTGTAAAACGCGCATATATTGTTTATATTTATATTTTTTTTGTAAACAATATAATAAACGAGATTAGTTACTTTTTAATCTCTACCTTGAAAATTCTGACTTAACTGAAACTGAATGTGGCCAAATTATTGGACTTCTTAAAAGTGGCGCTACAAAAACATGCATATCTAAAACACTTGACTTCCCTAGAACAACAGTAATACGAACAATTCAAAATTTTCTCGAAAGAAAAAGTCTCACAACCCAACCGCACAGTGGCCGCCCTAAACTTTTAAATTTTGAGCATAAACAAATATTAAAACGGGTTGTTAAGCGAAACAACAAAAAATTGGCTAAGCAACTCAAAAATGAAAGAACCAGGCTCGACGTTTCTACTAAAACTATTAGAAGAAATTTACACAAACTTAAATTTTTCTCTCGCATTTCGACATCCAAACCTTTACTTACTGATCGGCAGAGAAAAATTTGCCTAAATTGGTGTATTGAAAGAAAAGATTGGTCTATTCGAAAATGGACGTCCGTTATTTGGAGTGATAAAAGTCGCTCTACAATATTCAAAAATAATGCTACAGGTCGTGTTTGGAGAACTCCTGGAACAAAATTTAATATAGAAAATATGGCTCCTTCAGTTAAACATGGAGGTGAAAGTTTGATAATGTGGGTTTGTTTTTCTGGAAAAGGCTTAGGCCCCATTGGTAAAGGTAGAAGGAAAATGGACAGATCGATTATATTTAAATACTTGAAACCCATTTATTAGTAAAAATTTTGGTGGAAAACGGTATTTGTTTCAAGATGACAATGCACCCATTCACACTGCAAAAGATGTTAATGAATGGGCTGCATCAAAACCTTACCCAATTGGCCAAGTCAGTCACCAGATTTGAACCCTATTGAACATTTATGGTCAGAACTGGAAAGACGTATTCGGAACCGTTCAAGTTTGCCTAAAAATGTGAAGAAACTTGAGACAGCATTACAGGAATAATGGAGCCAAATTTCTAACAATGTTTTAATAAAATTAATTAAAATAAAGGATCGAAGCATGTATTGCAAGCAAGGGCTGGCCAACAAAGTATTAGTATTAGTCTTATACTATTACATAGATTCAGAAAAAGCTAGACTATAGCATATAAAAATTTTAGTCTCAATTATTATGTATACTTCTGAGCAATTAATAAAGTTAGGGTGTCCGATACTTTTGGTGTAGATATTCCTGGAGAGTTTGGGTATCATTGATTTTAAAAACATATTAATTAATGCAATTTTTACCTTGAGCTTCTCTAATCGTGTTGTAATTTTTGGTTCCACAGTCGAGTAACGTAAATTAAATTTATATTAATTTTATATATAGAGATAGTCTTATATTAACATTATAATTTTAACAAAAACTCTGCACCAGTTTTAATTAAATAAATTTTACAATTTTATGTCTGAGTCATAGCTGCCAACTAGCAGCAACTTTATTGTGGAACATTCTACTCAGTCTATGAAAAGCAGGCATTCTGTGAGTCATTAATACGTTTTCTAAGATAAAAAGGCAAATTTATTGAAGCAAAAACTTAACGCATTATTGGATTATGGACAAATTTTAGCTAAATTATGGTTAAGTGTTTGAATTGGGAGATGGAGAAGAGACTGTGTAATAGTATTGCAGGATATGAAATAAACGTATTAATATTATAAACTGTACATTTGACAAACAAAGACGGATTGAATAATAATCTGTATATTCATGTAATAAACTGCAGGTTGTACTGTAATATGTCATAATAATAAGTAATATAGGCAATCTGAGGCATAAAGTTTTTTTTATCGTAATCGACTTTATCTTTATCCTAATAAAATTGACAGTAGATGCAAAAAATACCCTTCCAGAGATTTTAAAACTGATAATTTAAATTGGTAAAACTGTTGTCTACTCGGTCAACAGCTTGGATTAAATATCGAAAAAACAAAATTCCACAAACATGCAAATTAATTCTTTCCCTAATGTATGCCCATTACATCATAAGAGATTTGTTAACAGGTATAACACATTTCGTAATTAGCCCAGTAATAGTTAAGGAAACGATTTCTTTTACAGCGGGGTCGAAAAAAGCCATCTAATAATAATATAAAAGCATTCCACCAACTTTTATCCGATACTTCATTAAACGCCCCGGACTATGTAACGGTTGATGATGGTGATGTTGTTGAAAGTATCCCATTTACTAAAAATATTGTTAGTTATATGTCACACAACAGTCTCAATACAATTTAGATTTTTGCCTGTACACCCGATCTAACGAAAAAATTTCTTTGGGTAAATTGTCCTACAACGCCGATCACTTTTCAAGGTCAACCGATGCCCCAAACGCTTAATTTTTTCCGGAGAATGCAATCCAGTCTCTACGACCTGAAAATAAGGCTATTACGTATCTCAACACCTTCGGATATGATATCCCAATAGGCGGGCATAACACATGGGAGGACGTAACAGAGATAACAGATTAATGCTCACTCCACTTATTATTATGTGGTTTCTAACAACATAGACGTGATATCCAATTTCCCCTCCCCCTCCCTCCTTTTACAGTCAACTGCCGATAATAATAATTCGACCGATAATTCGATTGCTTGAGCAAGACCCGAGTTTTTTTTATTATTGTTTTCCTTAATATTAAGTACGGTCTGTCGTTAATTCGACATATACGTTACGTTAATTCGACATATACGTTCTTCCGGAACCGAGGCAGTCGAATTAAGGGCAGTTGACTGTACTATGTTGATGAGCCGGGCTTTTTCTGGTTGAAATGTGGGTTCAGTCATTAATTACTTAGTAGTTTGTACGCTATCCTTATCATGGGTAAACGCTAGTCATTTTAATCAAGAGCAAAGGAATAAGTTGCGCTATGTTGATGACGTCACGATTACTACTGATTTTTCGTAAAATGACACTTGCACAGGATCAGTATGCTGAATTTAGTGCTCATACGTCTAATCTGCTGTAAATACAGGGTACTACTTGTTTTTCAAGGGGCTGTTGCTATCATTTCTTATCGCCTTCGTCAATCGCACAACTTGTAAGTTACTATTACGTTCGGTAGACACTTATTAAGTTAATGTTACTAAAAACGTCCTCAATGCTTGCCAATTGATTTGTACTCCTGTTGTTGTAGCACAGCATTGACAAACAACATTAAAACCATTGTCTATGTTTTTTTAATCGGGGTTTTATTCAGTCTCCATGTTGCCCAAGCCGTAAAACCAAAAACCACTATCACTATATAGATAAAGAATGAATATTACATATTAAACTAAAGCATTATTGAATGGTGATAGATACTTGGGCGTTGGACCTAAGTAAATCAGAAGCAGCGTTTGAAATTAATAATGTACGGAACTAATACCAAGACACATTTCATACGTACCCATCGGTAATTCCTGCAGAAATTCGGTAAGCGAACTCATGCATAGGAATAGCAGTTGTTCCAACATATCTCCTGTTTGCTTTGTCATGAAAGTCTTTGTATAGCTGTTTAAGTGTTTTACTATTATCCAGAGTTTGCTGAACATGACATGATACTGAATTCGTTCCCCGTTTTAGCCAGTTTTTAACCTGTTAATTGGAACAGTGATGTTGGCTACGTAAAATTGTCTTTATCTAAAGTGCAAATTTCTTTTTACAATACGTACTGTCCAAGTTATTATGAGATAATGAGGTACGAGAGTCACGTTTTGGATTTCATAGACTATTATACCTCGGGAAGATATAATAGTTCGAACCGTACTTTGACGTAATATAATGAGGCCGTAAGTAACAGAAATTTTTCTTGTGTGATATCATAGACTCTGTTTATTAAGCATAGAATTACTTACATTGTCCTCGTACTCTGAGGTTCTACATATTCTGCTACATTAGTTTGACCTCTTGCCCAAGCACGAGAGTTTCCAAGACTAAGACTGGGATGCCGATTGTCAATATTTATGTCCGTTTTAACACGTAGCATGTCCCTTATTCCGCGACAAATTTCCGTTGGTCTGAGGAGGTTAACCAGTAACGCTGCCATTAAAGATATGAGTTTTGATTAATAAAGGAGAGTCGGAACCCGGTTTTAGGAAAATCACCAAATAATTTACAGAACCGGTTCTGTAAATAATAAGGTAGAAGAGGAAGAACTATGAAGCTATATTACCAAGAGATCTAAGCGTATTTATAATCGTTTGCCATCATGTGACTTATATTTACACAGAAGATAGAACTTACGTATATAATCACTTTATGTATTGTTAATGACTGCGCACGATGCTTTTGGGTAATATTTCATTTTTTATACCCATTTCAATGGAATCACATGTGCATTAATACTTTGACAAGGTTCATACGCCTTTACTCGTGAGACGTGGCGTAGGTAAGAGAATAAAGGAGAAACTCCGTCGTTTTCCGATTAACTGCTGCGTAAAACGTTTTTATTCGTTTCCGCGCGGGCATTATTCCCATTTTTTAAAATAGTACTAGAAAATTAAATAGTGTTATTATAAAATTTTTTTATTGCTACATTTAGAAATGATAAACGCGTTTGAAATGAATGAACAATAAATGGAAATAAATTCTTTGAGAAAGGGGCAACACAAAGACTAATATTGAATGCTATTTATTACTATTACTTATGCATTGGTAATACAGATACGCCGAATCGACTTCTCATTACCGTGAATGTACATTTATTTATTATTGTATTATCGGTTTTCGTTTTGTAGATGACTGACCGTGATTCTTTTGTTAAAATTGCCCATTTTGGCTGCTGACGTAAGTCCGCAGTATTATGTTACTTTACCAAATAAAGTTTTGATTATCTAACGTATCAGCTATTGTTAATGTATTGCATTGATATTGTATGTGTATACTCTATCTGATAGTAACCGGTTTGTTAGACTCGTATGCCAGTTTGCATACGCAAATGACAAGCCAAATTTTGATATCGGTTCTTTAAGCAAAACAACACATAATTTAATGTTTAATACATTGTAACTTGCCCCCATTGATAAGTTGTTCTCAAAAAAACGCAATCGATTGTAGTTACACAAACTCTTTGCGTAATGCGTACACAGTCGTACTATTTTTTTGAGCCAAAGCAGTATTTGTAACAAGTTAGGGAATAAAAGAATGAGAATCAAGGAACACTGCCAAAATCACGCTAAGATGATATCATATGGAACTTTGTAGAACAAAAAAGTTTATGATGTTTCAAATAATCCAAACATACAATGGTCTGATTTCTGTGAAACCTCACCCCTTTTTACTGGCATTATAAACTAATATAGTAGCCTTGGCGTTTGAGATAAGTAGAATGTCTAGGAAGCATTTATCTTACTGCGCAAGGCTATTGCGCGAATAAATTGAGCCATCATATTGAAATGCATTATCTGTTTAGACAAAAAAGTTATCTAATGAGTCATTCTGGCCGTTTTAGCAGGTGAATAACTATTGCTAAGTGGTTATTTAAACAAAGTATATCATGCGAGCTATACTAAATGCATTCAATTATGATGTAATGTTATTAGATGTCAACTGACGCAATAGACACGGTGGTGTAAGATAAACTTATTACATCTTTTGAACAAATGACGCCGCATTAATAAGATAAAATAGTTATTATTGTAATAAAAATTTCAGTGGCGTTTATTGTCAAACGTAGCGATTGTTTGATTCTATGTTTCAAGTTTGCGACTAATTTATATTTTCAAGGACAAAGGCGAAAAACATTTGTATGTACTATATATGGAAATATTTCTTTGAAAAACTTATGTTAAACATTCTATATTTTGTTCTATGGCAAATTACATAACGATTAAATGAGTTATATGTGTAATATTCTTGGCACACAATCAGTCCGATAAAGTCGGTTTCGGCTTTGGCCGGCAAAACTACATAGATTTTCGATAATCGGCCCGTATGACTTTGTAATATATAACAAGTAATGGGATATCCATAGTTGAATATGTTATGACAAACGTTTGTCAGACTTGCCAACCAGAACACGTTACTACAGCCACATGATCCAAACAAATTACGTCATTACAATATGTCACTAGATATACAATTACCGCAGCAAACATGCCATGAGATCATACGATTAAAGCACGAGATGTACAGTATGTCAGTGTTTCAAAAATAATTGTGACCACAAAATTGAACTAACGCAACTATGCAGATCTAAAAAAAGAAAGAGTTATTAATAAGCATTACACATTACTTTTTATTAATTAAGATAAATCTATCTCTATTATTTGGTAAACAAGTACCCAACGTATTTTGACTGACTAAATTACATCAACTACATGCTGAAATAAAAACGCCTCGTTTGTTAAAAGACCGGTCTAACTCTTCTTATTAAAAGCATTCTTTATGATTGCTGATAAAATTTAAATCAGTGTTGTTCGATAGCCAGTCAATGATATCTACCTCATTTTTTGTACAAAATCGAAAGTATGCTTAGAGTTGTTGTTTCGTTGCTGCCTTTATTTCTCGTAATTACATATTCTGAGCTGTAGTCATTAATTGACTATGCATTGTGTCTATAAAACAAAACATGTAACGAGTTTTTTTGTAGTGATATGCTGTCCCGAGCGAAAACCTTTTCTCACATTTTTTGCTCCACTTTGGTATTGTTGTGTGTCAGATCGGAATTTATGTCAATTCCGAAGTGATATGTGTCAGATCAGAATTTTATATCGCTTATTAAAAATTTGAGCAGAAAAATTCTTTATCTTAGAGTAATTTTATCTTAAAGTGACTTGTGAATAATATATTGTCGTATGTCAGTTTGGAAGCGACATAAAATTCTGATCTGACATAAATTTCGATCTGACATACAACAGTATCAACATCAAACTTTATTTCTAAAGCGGTCGAATGTTGTTTTGTCCGTTAATTTTATTTATTATTCTCGCCATGTAATCAACATAGTTTTGAGTAAGCAATAGGCATGAAATTCTGGGATATCTTATTTTTATTTGCCGCCAAAATTTTATCGTGTGAATTGTAGTGGCATACTCATTTTTATTTATTCCTAATATTCTAAGTTAAACCTGCAGAGCTGTGTTGTGCATACTGACATGCCGTCCTAGACATATTTTGTGAGCCTTCAAATCATAGGTAGAGTCTTCTCCACTACGGAGAAATTTTGAGATGATTCGGAATGAGAACATAGAGTGCGTCGGTCGCGTGGCAGGGGAGCGGTAGATGACCGTTAGGGGTTGCCTGAGAAAAACAAATCCAGGATGAAATAAACAGCGCACGGACTTCTGCTATTGACAACAGAAGAATAACAGAAATTATTGAAGTAATTAACGACTTTAAAGATAAGTGAGTAATTAGTTTTATTTTTGTTAGTCAAAATAACTCCTATCGTTTATGAAAAGAGGATAGTCAGTCGGTTTATATCTAGTGTTCCGCTTTTCTCTACGCCGTACTGTTTAAAAATTTTTTATTCTACTATTTAATAATTTTCGGGAGATTGGACATTATTCCAGCAAAAAATGAAGTACGTTAGACGTTGAGCTTTAAGTTAAATCTATTGCATTGTAGGGATCTAATTCAAACCGTATTTTTTTGCGACAAAGCACGTGAATAAGTACCCCCCGAATGATTACCACTAGTAGTAGCATAACATACCCCTCTAACAGTTTATTACATAATGACGCCTGATTATAAAATTCTTTAGTTTACTGCGATTGCTATAAGCTAACACATCAAAGTTTATTATGATAAATAGTGTGGTGCTTTTTCCACGAGAAGATACTTTAACATAAAAAGGAAAAACAAAGACACATAAACCGCAAGTAACTGCAATTTTTGTATAAAACTTGTAACGTCGGATAAGAAAAGCCTGTTCAATTCTTTAACGATCAAATTTGTAAATTATCAGATAGTTCAAAAACATAATCTATTGGAAACTAGCAATACTTTTTACGTAAACTTATTTCTGAAATCTTATCAGAAATCTACCGTCTTTTTCCATACAGCTTCCAGATGACGGGGTGTGTATAAAGGTAAACCGTTTACCGTGAATAAGCACCCCTTCGATCATATGAAAATGATCCGCAACCATCACATAAACAATAAACTTTAGGGGTTATCTAACAGTAATTGCAGTAACGAAGACTTTTTATAAAAAATTTTTAGAATTACCCCATTATGTAATAAACTGTTTGTGGGGGGAGGGTAATGTGGTATTCTTTTACATTATAACACTAACTCTATTTTTTTTTCACTTTCTTTCTCTTCCCTTTTTCCGTCTGTTTGTTTTATGATAGGATCCCATGGAACACAGCGGGAGTAGACCGAGTCGAGGGACCAATTCGGTGATTACTTGGTTATTTGTGAAATATCTGCCCTGAAGCTGGTTAGAGACGAAAGGGGCTTTGCTGCGCGCACAGAGTAACTGTTACGATTATTTGTCTATCCCTATTTTTAATGTTATAGTCATAAACATCTTTTACGTATACACTATTAACATCGTTATATAAGAAACGGTCTCATTGTAAAAACTAACGTCGATTTTGGCCATCATTATGTTAATTTCTTTGCCTTTGTATTATACTAACCGTATAGGAATATACCTGTACGATTGGAAAATATATAGGATATAACAACCTTAATTATAATTTGATGTGTTTACGAACATCTTTTACTAAATCAATGTTTTGCACTCACTTATCGGAAAATTATATACGGCGATTAACCGATGTAATGTCACCCTCTCTGTATCATGTGTGTCAAACAAGAAACAAATGTGCAGCTGTATTTCGTTGCCATATCGAGTGTAATATGAAATTCGTACCTTGGCAATACAAAATATTTGTAGTTGATTCGTGCAATACAAGCCTAAATATCCCGCACATCCGTCCTCATCTCTTATAGTTCATACATAAATATGCCATAAAGAATGAGGAATAGAGAGCGCAGGAGGTTTTTTTCCCTTAAAACAATCGATGTCCTGCATAAGAATGCTGTGAGTGCTAGGGACCCTGTGGGTGTAACATACCGCCCACATATCCTTAATTAAAAATTACCGTTACATCATTGGTTTTGTGTTTTCTATTAGACGTAATTACACAATTACTATCATTGGGTGAAAAGACAAACATGAGATCTAGAAGCCTATCGTCACGTTGTACCTTATATACATCGCAGTGCATGTTGATACTTGTTCGTCTTATTATGTTTGTTTTATTATAGGACAAAGTCCCCGAGAGCTTAATTAGAAACTTCCTTTATTACGTAAAAATCCAAACTTTAAATTTCGCATCAATTGATTGCAGTTTTCCTGGTAGAATTTTTTTGCACAGAGACTTCATACGACGTCTTTTTTTTTATCGACTTACGAAGACTTTATCAATCGAACCAAGCGTAATAAATTTTGTAATCTTCTTTGCGGCATAAAATCAGCTTGTTACTGATATATAGATGGTTTTGTTATTCAAATAATTACAACACTGTTTGTTAACCATCTTGCGTCACATCATACTGTGACAACACTACTCTCATGTAACATTACTTTCCAATTTATTTAAAAAGAATCTCCGTACAAAGGCATCACACTTTTACTTATCATTTCAAAATGGGGAAAATACGTACTGCTTCCTCAAAAACGTTCGATACCTCAGACACAGATTCGAGCATATCATATGAAATTACTGAAGATGAAACAAGCGTCAGCACTCCAACGTGTTCGCCATCTTTCATGGATCCAATTGAGGCTGTCACGAAAAAACCAGATAATGTGCTAGAAAAGTTTGTAGAAATTGGCGGAAGACGTTATTTTAACGATGACAGCGTTAAATGTTTTCTGCCCGTTGACCAAGAAGAAATAAAAAGGGCGCATGAGCAAACTTGCATAGACAATACTATATGGAATGGTAGCTACTCTGCTCCCATTTCCGAGAATCTATCATTAGGAGCAAGTGTTCTTGATGTTGGGTAAATATATTATTGTGGTTCGAGTTGAAGTTTGATCAGCAAAATATACGTACCGTACATATACAACGTTTTGAATATTTTTTGACCGCCCGTATTAATGTTAATGATTCTATAATTACCCAGTTGTGGCGCAGGATCATGGATGATAAATACGGCGTTGGACTACCCTAAATCAGTATTTGTAGGTGTAGATATCATTCCTATATTCTCCGAAGATCGACCACCAAATACGGTATTTCTAAAGTGCAATGTTCTGGACGGTTTACCATTTCCGGACAACACATTTGATTTTGTTCGGCAAACATATCTTATAATCAGTATGGATTGGCAATCATGGAAAGAGAAAGTGGTGAAAGAATTGATAAGAGTAACTAAGCCCGGAGGTTACATCGAAATTATGGATGTAGACGGTGAAAGTACAAATCCCGGAATAATGTGCCGAAAGATTGAATATTATTGTAAGTATCCGATAAAATCGTATGCGTATGCATATTAATATGCGTTTCTGAACCAACTTTTCCTTCATTATTTAAAATTGTAGTATACGAACATATGCGTAAAGCCGGAATTAACCCAAGGTCAGGTCAAGACGTAATAAAAGTATTTAATGAGTTCGACGATAAAGTGATTGTAGCACCCATAGAAGAGAGAACATATCATTTGGGGAAGAAAGCAGGCGAAATAGGCAAAGCGGTAAGTATAGTAAACAAAACGTATAAGGTTTGAAAAAAGTGCTCATAACAGACAATTATAATTAACTAAACGCTTTGCTTGTTAGACATTGAAATGTATAGCGGATGCTTATAGAACAATGAAAATTATTTTCACTCACATTATGGAAATTACAGAAGAAGAATTTGAACAGCTCTTAATTGATTTTGAAAAGGAATGTAATGAAGTCACGCTCTGCAAAACACGATATCGTGCCATTATTAAAAAGCGTTGAACGAGTACGACGGCTGACTTTGGTTTTCATTTCAACGCCGCCTCATAAGAACCCCTTTTCCTTGTTGTAATCACTACGTCTTGAATTATTTGTAAAATTGTACAAAAATTGTATGTATTATTACTATTAATACTATTCTAGAAATGGTAATTTAGATTCTCCACAAAACAGTTTGTTGTTGTGTTGTTGTTGTTGTTTTTTTAAAAAAATTATTATCTAAAGCAACTTTAACTTAGACATAAAATTAGTTTTGCTTTACATATCGAAGCATATATATAAGACTTTACCACTATGCTTGTCATTTAGAATGATAGCTAATTATGAGATTAAATTTTATTTTCGACAACGGAGCATTTTGCTCGCAATAAGTAAAATAGTAAAAGTACAAGTCACTAATAATGACTTAGCAACTTTTTAGAACAAAGCACCATAATTAAACAATGATAGCCTTTTTCGTGTATACAGCTTGCATGACAATTCTGTAACTATACGACGACGAATAGTGAGAACGCCCAGGTGGTAGGATTCGAACCTAATTTTAATTTGGATCCGGTTCAATTGCCCGACAAAAAACTACCCAAAAAGAATAACTTTGAATAATGTTGGTAAATGTTTGTCGGGCAAATGAATTGTCGGGAAGTAATTGTCGGGCAAATGAATTGTCGGGCAAATGAATTGTCGGGGCAAGTAATTATCGGCCAAGTAATTGTCGGGAAGTAATTGTCGAGAAGTAATTGTCGGAAAGTAATTATCGGACAAGTGAACGGCTCCCTTCTGATTTACCAGTTTAAATTACGCAAAACGCGCTTGTAAAGCAGTAAGCTTGCCATATTTTAATTTGATTACTATAACAATATCAAATATGTTATCTCAAAAAAAAATTAGACTTTTCAACGTGGACAAACTATTGATGTTTGGAATTGTGGTTTAATTATAAAAAAATTGCACGAGCACTTTCCTCTTTAACAGTTGATAAAATAATTAAAACTTAGAAATTAAATCAAAAAAGTATATTAATATAGGCATTTAAAACATTTGCTGCCATATATCAAACATTTTGAAAATAGAAATATTATATTCCAAGAAGATAATGCGCCTCAAATTAACAAAAAAGTGGGGGAAACCACAATGTGTCACTTCTCCTTGGCCTGCTGAAAGTCTTGATTTAAATTCTATTAACGTTTTGTGGAATTCAAAAAGAATGGCTGCGAATAGCAATCAGACAATACAAATTATTGTAGTAGCATATGCTTGATCGAGTTTCTGTTGTTATAACAGACAAAGAAATTTTATAAAATGTTAATTAAACAACATATTTTAATAAACATTTTTAGTCATTATTTAACCAATTTGAAGTTTACGCTGTAAACCTTTATGCGTGCATAATTTGAGACATCCTAATACTAAATATTTTTACTTAGCCACATAAAATACCTTGGAACAAAACTTTTCGAAGCTGTCTTGTGATTAAAATTCAACACGAAAGTTAGTATGACTTTACATAACAATATTTCGCTCAACATTAACTCGTTTTTCAAAAAAAAAAAAAGTACAACACGCGCATGTCGATGTTGTCAACGAATTTGCTTAGAACATTATTGCATTTAAATATGTAGAAAAACTTGTTAATTTTTTTGATAATTGGCAAGTGTTACTCATTTGTGTCCAGTTTTATGTCATTTATAGAAAAATTCAACCGCTTGTTGTTGAACAATTGCATTATTCTAAATAAAAAGACAGTATCTACAGCACATAAACCCGATTATATCGAACCAGGCAGAGTGTTCGCTCGTATTAAAATGTTTTCTAATTAAACCAACTTTTTAATACTCTTGTGTTTTAAACAATAAATAATTTGATGCGCTAATAAAGTGTTTTTAACATACTTATAAAGCAATCACTTCTTCGTGTGACTATAGAATTATTATATGCCGTAAGCAAGGTTTTGATAAAGTAGATTAAAACAACAGACTGTGATTATTGAACAAGAATCAAATTTGGCTGAATCTTACCAGCAAGAAACTACTATCCATCAATTAGATTTTGCCACTTATACCCGCCCTGAAGTTTTAGTCGCTTACGATAAGCGGTCTTGTAATTGTGGTCTCTTTGTACCTGCAATATCTTTAATATTAGAGTTGGAATAAAATTTTATAATATTGTAATCACAGTTGTTTACATTATTATACAATGCTTGTCATCTCATGTCTATTAATTACTCAAATATTTTATAAGTTAATACTATTTTCTTGAATATCTATACTAAACAGTTAATATGCAGTTTAGGTAGTTTTTATTAAATAAATAAACAAAGACAAACTGCCTGTTCTAATTATATTGTTTTTAAAAAATGTGTGTGTGTTTTTGGCCAAGATCTATTACTATTTACATTGTTTGTCTATACAAGTCATTACTTATTCATTAATTTGTCAAATAACCCCACAACCATCAGCATGTTGTAAACACAACATTAATACTCCTTGATAATTTTCACAAACGTTCGTTCATTTCGTCTAGGGTTTTTTTTCTTGCAATAACTCTGTATGTCCTCCAATATAAATCTTGTACGTTGACTTCGTTGATAAATGCTTCTAAAATTGCTTCAAAATGTTCGGGTGCTATGCCCATTATTTGAGAAAGGGGAATCTTTATGGCATTCCATGACAGCATTAAATCCCTAACTGCCTGTAGATAAAAGTAGTAAAAAAAAAACTTTTAGATTATTATCTTAAAGTTGTAAACAAATACCCATAGACAAGAAATGCCATCAATCACTGTTGCAAGTTTTTTTTTGTATTTTACAAACAACTTATGCCCAATAAATTTATTCTTCTCATGCTCTTACTTTCTCTAGTCTTGAAATTTATACTCACCAGCTCCCCAAATTTGCCATGTCTTTTCCCTAATGGCATATCATTTTCAATATAGTGTACATCAGTCAACTGTGGGTTGCTACGAAGTAGGGTTTGGAGAAATTGACCCAAATTTGGAACCAGACCTTTTGATAAAAATAACTTTTTACCTAAATTAAATTTGAGAATATAAAAATTAGAAGACTGTAACAAATAGGGTATTAAAAATTGGTTACTTGTAAAAATTTTCAGTAAATATACGACAAAAGGCTCTTATTTTCGTTGTTCCCAACTTCTGTGCTTAATCACAAAGGTTAAAATAAAAAAAACAACTTACAAGATCGTCCAATTCTTCTCAATACTTTTCCCTTATCGCAAATGCAGGCGTCCGACTCGAGTAACTCGATCCATCCTCCGGGCTTACATACTCGAACAATTTCATGTAGAACAGTGTCTTCCCATTGTTTTTTTGTAAAGTCGGACAACGATAGTCGTTCATGTATAAAATCGAATGAATTGTCATCGAATTGAAGACCATTTAAAATGTTTTGCTGATAAAACGAGACATTTGACGGTGCTGACTTTGGGAAAATGGAAAACGGATTAACGCCGACGAAATTGGTTGTCGGTGAAATCGAAGCCATCTCAACGGTCCACAAGCCTGTAACGCAGCTTAATGAGAAAAAAACAAAAACTTTAAAATCAGTTTTTAAAACGACAAAATTTAACCGATATGAAAAACCAACAGTAGTGCGTAATGTTACAGTTGTATAAAGTAATTTTTATTTAAACTGACATATACAGCGTTACTTTGCATATTATCATAACTCTATATGAAAATTGACTAGTACTAAAAGCAAAATTCTATAAAATTAACACAATGACAAGAAAAAGTTTATAAATACATTCAATGCATTCACTAACCGATTTGTCGCGTCCTCTGAACTCGTTTTACTCACCCAAGGTCCAGTACTTGCTTCGGCTTCGTTTCGTTATCACTACTCAACACAACCGGACTGACATAGTTTTGTCCCCAATAATGTTTCAATACGACATGATGCAAATACATTATTTCTTCTATTGAATCACTGTTTGTAAAGACAGATTTAGGTGGCTCCTCTTGATCTGGCAAAGTGGAGGCAGAGGAAGAATGGTCGAATGTAAATTCCATACAAGTTGATATAGCGTGTCCCATTATGCGAAAATATGAAAAAGATTATGCGTCAGTGAATATATATATACTATTGAAACTTATGTTATCTTACAATTTAACAAATAAAGCAGGACTGATATGTATATGTGAAGAAAATGGTGATGATCTCTTATTGTCTATTCTTTAAAAATAAAAATCAACAATTTTCTGCATATATGCTAATTTGTTTTAGCGCTATTTTTCGACAGAGTAAGCCTTAATATAACTATGGGGAAATTGCTTTACGGTTGTTATTTTATACGTATCCTATGCATGTTCCGATATGTAACTGCACGATACACAAGATAAAACAAATTAAAAGCAAGAGTCGGATAAGTGGAATGACAAATGAGGCAACCAAAATCAAACACATAAACATCAACTGCAACTTGCCGATGAACACACAACAAAGACCATTTCAGCTTAAATGAATACTACAATAGCGTAACAACAAACAAAGATAAAATTATGCCCCGTGCAGTGTAAACATGTTTGTAACTCGAATACAATCAGCAATCTGTTAAATTCATATTCAACAACAAAAAAAGCAACAACCGTCGTTTTCCGATCAAATGAACTTTCTACTCATTTTCCAAACGTGGTCAAGCGTTGAATTTGAGTGAACCCGACTCGTGTAAAATTCTGCAAAACACAATGACGGCCTTTTGCATGCTGATTTCTCGAAAAATAAATATTAGATAGACGATCTCGTCTGCAACTGACGTGATTATATCAGTTATAATTTATCCATCGGAAAAAGACAACGCAACGTTAATAATGTATGGCAAACATTCGGACCGCTTGCGTGCAGAGGCAGTGTCTGGCAGACATGTTCTCGTATATTTGTTCATTGCTGATCGTGTGTTCGCTGTACTCCGGAATACATCCCTCCCCCCAAAAATCTATTTAGGGCAATGAAGCGCTATTATGGAATATTGTTCGGACATCATCAACTTGGCTTAGTCATACACATGATGGCAAGCATTCCGGTGAAACTTTATTATCCTGTATCGGGTAAGCTGCATTATGATCGAGACATATAACAAGTTAAAGCCGTTCTGCATATCAAGAACAAGTTCAAGTGATACAAATATATGAGTACTACTTTCAGATATTCGGTAACGATTTCATTATCAACTAATAAGGATGGATTGAATAACATTAATTCTGTCAATTAATAAAGCTATTCTCAACTTGCCATATATCCGTTATTTCTTACAGTCATTATACATACTAATTTACACCTAACACCTGATTGGTGGAAATAAAAGGTGGTGGTGTCCGAGCTGCAAGGGAGATGCCCGACTGGGTCATGACAACGTCGTCATCACCCGACAGAACAATGGGCGTGAGCAGTAATTCAACGACAAGTGATCATAGTAAAATTGCTCTACATTACACTTTAACTTGACTCTGGTAACTGATAATCGATTTCTGGGGGCACGGGCATGATTGGTAGAGAACATGACATAAACAATTACGATTATTATATCAGCATGTGTTTTTAATTAGCAATTATTATGTATGCCATTGCTTGCTATGAGTCTTAATAACGACCCAACGCAATTGTCTTTCACGCTTCCCAAATATAAATTCAAGCTAGATCTACGACGACATAAAGTTACATACCGGATGGAGTTAATATTGTAATGAATATCCACAAACTTTAAAGAACGGAAATAATAAAAAATAAATTCCAATTTTTTTTACACGTTCTCTCCATATAATTCTATTGCTGTAATTAAAGAAAGACGAGATAAAATAGTAACTGATTACTAAACAAGCATGACATTAATGTCAGCAGTAATTCTACAATCGAGTGTGATGGCAACTATAATTGCATAGTCAAGATGAGGAAGAATGGAAGCTTAATAATTTAGGTTCTGGCCTTGCATCATTTGCAGAGTTTGTTTGTAATGAGATTTCTGAACAAACTCATTGAATTGCTTATTGTTTTCTAAATTGCGTGTCATCGGCAAATTGATAACAATATCTGCTGCATAGAATGAAAGTCTATATCGATTACTCAGCCTAATACGATGAGCAAATCTCAATGGAACATAATCCTTGAAGTCATTAACCAGCCACCAATCAATAATTTTGCCCACATACCCCGGCCTATTTTTAATAGAGGTGTGTAGTAGTAGGTAATTCTGAATAAAGTAAAAGATAAGTTGGACAGCGTCACAGGCAATTCTCCAAGACAAACTAGTCTGCAAAATTATTTTGCAGTGCAATTATATTAACATATTTATCATAAACGGTTTATTAAATGTAGAACAGGCATTAATCTAATACGATATGAATCATATGTTAACAATGATGCGATAAGATTATAAGAACAAATATTAGCATATAACAGTGAGACGATATAAGAACTGAGATTAACTAATTGTTATTTATGACGAGAATGACAAGGCTTAAGGATTTCTAGTATGGGCATGCCTCGGTAAAACTGTTTTTCCTATTGTGTATAATTTTTTTTTATGTCTTAAGACAAATGTTCTTCACATCATCGCTAGGGGTTTTGCCATTTTAGGCCAACCCGATTTCGAATCGGTCCAACCTCTCTATATGGATCTTGTACTTTATCCTATAAGTGCTCGATGCCAACAACCAGTCTGGCGTCATCAACTTTTAACTTTACTCCAGTTTTTCATTACGGGTCTAATATATATCATACGTTTCTTGATTAGTCATACTCATTACTAACTTAAATAAGCTAAACCAGACAGATTTAGGTAATAATAACGTATCTCTATATCAGATAGTAGTGCTAACCTACATGCTGGTCAATAAACTTTATAGAACATAATAATAACATTATACACAGTGAAAGTCGATATAACGGACCGTCGATATAGCGGACACTAATTATAATGGACTGTTTCTCTGGGACGGAATTTATAAGTGTCATATTAAATTTCTAATTAATAAAAATTCGATATAACGGATTCTTCAATATAACGGACAAAAGTGTGGAAAAGACTATGGTCCTGATTAGTCCGTTATATCGTGTATACTCTGTCCATGCAAAACATTATCTTTTACATTAGTGTTTCGGAAACGATTTAGGAAGTTGAAAGTCTAGTAACCAAGAAAAATCGTACAATGATCATTGTGAAGAAAAATGGCATAAAGTGCTAACTTTTTTGAGATAAATGAGTTCATTTACAGCAGTCAATGAATGTTATTATACTTTATCGATATAGAAAATATGCTTGGCAACCCTTATTATTGATTAATGGCAAACTAAAAGCTGTAACTTATTTGATTATGTTCGAAGCATAAAGCAATGGTTAATTATTGTTCTATGCACGATCACTTACGTCTTCCATAAATGAAGATTCATCGTCTGTGAGCATCGTTAATAAAACCAACATAAGGAAAGATCTGTATAACTATATTGCAAGGCGGGAAAAGGGAAAACTTCCCTCCTACGTGTTTCGCTCATTTTCCTTCGGGGCTTATATATTACTATTTGTAACGGTAACTTTGTAAAATCTAATCTTGCTTTAGACAAATGCTCTCATAATAAGTATTGCTTGTTAAGACTTCTATACCCCGCATATTTCAGTTAATTCGTCAACTCGACACCAAGCATTCAGTCTTAAATCGAACAAAAAATTAATTTCAAGATGCTGGCTGCTTACATCGTTTAATTCCAAATATTTAGGGGGTTTACAAGATCAAATAGATGATGATGATCCTGTTTCTAATCTACACAATCTATAACTGACCTGAATGAAAAACTGAACAAGTTAACAATAACTAATAATGAGCATTTTCGTGTGACTATATTAATAGATCTACGAGATGTCTCGTGATCAAGTAAACATACAGTATTACCAGGCGGTGTAAACGACTGTTGAAATCTTGTCCTACGTTGACCAGAATCATATCTGTTGACTTGATAATCTTGTCAAGGGTGTCGTCCCCTCTGGAGTTGTTGGGTGCAGATACTGATTGATGAGTATTTCCGGGTGTCCGGCAATTGATCAGCTGATCGTATCTTCTAAACTATATGTCGAATCGTCTAAACCATATATCGAATGGATACCTCACACTGCATTTACAGATATAGGGACGATCCAATCTTCCATCAATAACACAGTCCATTACCGTTACGCTATACACAAGCAACCATGGTTTGCATGGTTTGATAAAAAAATTGTAATGATATTACTCGAAAGTAGTGATAAATGCACACCAGAGTTTATTCACGATTTTGCTAAAATATATTCAATTCCAACACATGAATACGAACATTTGTCAAACTTAACTCATTTTAGAAGGTATTCAAAATGGCTCGAGAGACGCAATGAATCGATAAAGGGGTTTACCAAATTCGAGGATGCTTACTACTTAATTGCCGAAGGACATTTTTACCATTATTATTCACTATATGGCTTTTGCTCTGCGTGTAAAGTATTCAGGTGTAGTCCTGTATGGTGTATATGTGGGCACAAGGAATTATCAAGCGGGTGGACGAGCAACAATGAGAAACTCGACTGTTACATCAGACAATCGCAAAGTCATACAAGATCAGCAAACGAAGCTTACTTGGAATGGATTCCATTTGAATGTATCGAGATTATCTCGTTAGGCAGCGGAAACGACACCAAGATATCCGAATATAAGACATATTGGGAACGAATTCCATCGCATTGGCTGCGTATCGGTTCGTCACATAATGACAACAATGCTCAGACACCAGCGTACGATACTTATCTGGAATCCGTTCCGGCGAGAGCAGATACAGGCAGTAGCAGTAATGTAACGAGTAGAGAACATACCCGTTCATCTGACTGGGGGTATATCGATCACTTTTATTATGAAAATCGGTCCAGTATACTCAACAACGGAATTTATACAAACACGCCAGAAAGAATAATTAGTAATGAATCTTTGCTTGACACTGCAATTGTAAATAATGTAACAAGAAGTTTACCTGCAGAAATTAGAATGGACAATCTTTCGGATACAAGAACGATATCGCGGCTGAACAGTGTTTAACCGGAGACTTGTGTAGTGGTTTACCCGCGCTTCATAAAGTAGGATTGTTTCCAATTGACATATGCGATAAAACGCATACTTTGTACTATTACAACGTAAGCCATTTATTCGTGAGCACGTCTTGTGGATGTCGATTTGTATGGTTTATTTTTTACTAACTTGGACTAAATTTCTTTTTTGCCAGTTGTTTACGGAACACTCAGATTCATTCAAACCTGATGTTTGGATTACTATCGGATTTACATATCATCCAGAACAACAAAAGTACGCTTTGATTAAATCTCGAACTAAATATGATGACGATGAGGAAGTCGACTGCGGATTGTGTCTGGCATGTACAAGGCATTTAGATTATAGAGTAAGTGCATTTTGTCATCATTGTAAAGCACCCAGACCTCCCGACTGGACGACTGGTAACAAATCCTTGGACACACTTTTGGCCAAATCATGGGCGAATACTATGTATCCAACAGACAGTTATTTACAGTGGATAGAATTTTCCCACCTGACCAACATACAAGAAGCATCCGCGTTAAACCATGAGTGCACGCATACAGCAGATTGGTCAGAGCCTACAACTAAAGAAAGCAGAGTGGTAAAAGTGATAATCAAAAAAATAGTTAGTGCAGAGGATGCTCCATCGTTTGATTTTTGTCAGGTAATGTAGTCTTGTATGTATATGTAATGAGTCTAACGTTATTGACAATTAATTGTTTTGCAAATATTTAATGTTTTCCGCACAATATAGTTAGCAACAGACTACCCGATGATATTATCTTCACAAAACATATGGATTATCGGTATTGCGAAAGAGCCATATAGTAACGACTATTATTTGGTATTCTATCAAGATTTACGTTCAGTTTTAGACCGACTCATACAAATAATGAAAGATTCACATGGAAGAAGTCTAGAGTTTATCCAATACGAGCATTTCGATGAACTTGAAGAGATCGGTGCTGGTGGTTATGGGAAGGTCTATTTAACCAAATATAAATTAAAATCTAACGAACGCGTAGTGCTAAAACGTTTCAAGAAACTTGATGAAAGGCCAGAACTATTTGTATCAGAGGTAAGCATTTCTCATTTCGTGTCGTTATTATTGACCAACTACAAACTAATCAAAATGCTAATTCGTTTCTTATCAACTGTTGTCTAACGTAAAAATACAGCTTAGGAATCATGCCATGTGTATAGGTACATTTGACAGATTCCTTCACATATACGGTGTCACACAACAGCCGGAGACGAAAAAATATATGATCGTGATGCAATATGCGGATAACGGTAATCTCTTATCGTATTTGGATCATAATATCAACGAGTTGACGTGGATGAGGAAAGCTGAATGTCTGAAGGATATTGCAAGTCGTCTATATATTATTCACCATAACAGGTTGATACATTGCGACCTTCATGGCGGGAATATCGTTCTAGATAGTAAACTGAAATCTACATGTGAGCTATTCATCTGTGACCTCGGACTCTCTAAATCGGTGAACTCATCCGAATCGGGTGGTTGCTCGACAATTCATGGCGTTTTACCATACATTGCGCCAGAAGTTTTTCACACCGGTCAATTCACCCAGAAATCAGACATTTATGCGTTTGGTATTCTTATGTATCAGATTGCTAGTGGAGAGCCGCCTTTTCGGGATAGACCTTTTGATAGGTTTTTAGTATGTGATATTCTCGGCGGAATGCGACCAGTAATGCCTGATTCAGCACCAAAGCCTTATAAGGAACTTGCTGAAAGGTGTTGTGATGCCGATCCAGATGCGCGTCCAGATGCTGAGGAACTCAAGCGCTGTACTAGAGACATGATCTCGAAAGCAAATTGGGATGACAGTGTGTGGAAGAAAATTTATCATAATGAGAATATTAGACCACTTTCTCGCACCGAAAAGGATAGTAAATACTCTAGTAAGGTGTTACCCACAGGAAATTTACCCCGACCGAGAAATCGTCTTAATGTTGATTCATTTGCAGGTAAATACAATGTTCTAGAATCAAATTCATGGATGTAAGACATTAATTCTTTTTTCCCATTCAAACAGTGACCATGGATTTGCATATCTTATAAGATGTGTTTATACGTGTGTTTGATATTTATGATACTATCACAGTGTGGATTTATTGTATAAAATTTTGTATTTAAGAGCTATGACATTATTGTTATACGTTTCCGTCAATCTATTATCCAGTCGCAAGTAACGCGTTTTCGCAATATTTATAGTTTTGATTTATTTGTGTAGCGTTTTACGAAGAGATTTAGTTTGGTGCCATAACTATTCAGTTAGATGTATAGGAAAAAGTATTGGGAGACTGGTTTAGATGATTCTGCATAAAATACTTGTAACTTTAATTTTATATTTAATTTGTAATAAAATCGAGTCGAGACTACGAGTTTGTTAAAACGATATTGGTTTCTCGGTATCACGTGATTATATAATGTCGAGTATTAAATGTGTTTATAAAAGCAACACATCTCGTTTGCAAGGTGTAGTGATGTTAACATGTAAGTGGAAGAGCATGTTTAAATATAAATCACATATGTATAATCTTTAGGAACAGGGCTTTTCGCGTTCTCGATCAGAATGACTATGATTTTCTAAAATACTACCATGTGTTCTCTTATAATCTAACTTAAATTTTCCAAACGAAATAATGTTAAAAAATGTCTCATCGTTTTGTTCTGAAACAAACCGTCTTAATGTTTCTTCATACTGACGTTTTTCATCGTTCTGGCGTTAAGAATTATTTTAGAGCTTTATTCGCCCAATTATTTACGGTTGTCATGCTTATAAGTACTGTAATAAGTAAATTCGAAAAACTTTATGAAGTTAGAATAACAAGCAGCATCCCACTACACATAACAATATTAAACTCCGCCTCTGTCGAATCAATTCAGATAATATTGGCAAAGAGGGTTGTGCAAGTTTTCTCGCTTATTCAGGTATCTCGCCACGAACTGAACGGAGTAGGCTTGTTCCGGACGGGATTTGTTGTTCTCACAACTATCTTTGTCGTGAAATATCCACCGCTAGAAAAAATCCTTTGTTCGATCGCTTTGATGCGACTACGGCTTCGCTAATAACATTGCTCCTCTCTGTCAATTTTAATTTGCTTTTTAACTTCCTCGATACTATCTCGTTGGTGATTTTTAGGGTTCCTTAAATAAGTCTTCTCTAATCTCTTCATCGACTTCATTGCGTTTGACGTCATTTAAAGCTTGAAAATAACAAGTTGCTGGTGGAAGTGCACCTATATTATTTTTTTTCCCACACGATTAGTTTTTTGATTTCCTACATCAACTAAGAAGAAAGTTATTACCTCGATATTATACTAGCAGTACGTGGTATATGTGAGTAGGTATTCTAACCGTTTGACACGGTGAATAGAAAGTTATTGTCCAGAAACTCATTTAAATTGCGTGAGTATCAATGATATGCAGCGGAAGAGGACATTATCTATGAGAGCAAAGAGCAGTGCGTTTCTCTTTACCATCCGTATATCATTTTTAATCTAAGAATCTCCCTTCCTCGCGGATTGATGCCCCAATAATATTAGAATGAACAGTAAAAGTACATTGAAACCGATGGTGTAAATCTTCCTCAATCAAACTAAATTTAGGGACAAACCGGTAAAAATAAAGTAACATGTGTAACCAGGTCGAACTGAATTAAGAAGTCGAAAACAAAAAGCATTACATCAAATTTATTCCAGCAGACGTCGAAGCATCTTAGTTCCAAAGATGTTATTCGTCAGCACAGACATTTATTTATTTGTGTACGTGGTTCGTACCGCAAACACGACTAATCTTTTCTCGATAATTAGAAGCGAAGATATAAATGACGTTCACTGTTACAATAAGGGACGTCAGCAAACAATGAAAGAGCAAACTATTGAACATAGAACGCACTGTTGGATGACGATATGTAATATGTAGACTGTTACGTAATTCAGACAACAGACCTCTGACAAGAAGCGGATTTTTACGTACTTTACCCAAAAGATGTCCTCTATTCTTGTAGCTAAGTGAGTAACCACTAATAATTGATCTACTCTGAATGAAGGTATAAATGGGCTGTGGATGGTATGCTGTATGATCCAAAATTTAAAACTTGTTGAAATAGACTTGTATGACAAAAAATTGTTACACCAATGATTAATCTCGCTGTCGAGCCAGTAATCGTGAGAAAGCAATTCCTTTTGGGATTTTAACTGTCTTTCAAACGAGGCTGTAGCTTCTCCTGGATTTATAACGATAATTGTTATTCGCTCAAGATGAGACGCGTTTGAGTATACCCCTCAACTTAGTAGAATTCATCGGACGGGAATAGCCGATTAATGAGGGCGAATGACAATCTAGGGTTAGTGTTTACCGATAGATAATTCTTGAGTAGTAAAGCCTAGTTAAAGGCCACTAATTGCACTGTCACAAGAATATCCACGGAACAAGAGCTTAATTAATATAGGATTCATGACTCACGATAATATCGAGAAAGCGAATCACGAATAATACGTTTCAGACTATAAAAAACTACTCGTTTATTGATGAAACATTATGTGGATAGGAACATAATCGTGCATTAAGTCAGAAAGTCGCGCTTCTTGTAGTGTGTATCCAATCAACTGTTGCCTATATTTAACTATGTATACTGTGCGTTTACTATGCGCAGTGCAGTGCAGGTGGCACACACAGTCGGAACATAACCACAACTTTCTAGACATTACTCACTCAAAATGTCATTTAAAGGTAACATGACTTTGTGAGTGCATATTGTCATTTAAACTGAAATGGTTTAAGAAAACAAGACACTAAACATAGTATATGAAGTTATTCTGTACAAAAATAAACTGATAAATATCTCAAAATGAACGTTTCATTAAGGAAGACTCGTTTAGGGATAATTTTTGAACTATTATTAGCTTTTAATCATCATGCAGAATGTCATCATTTATCATTATTTGTGTAATATTATATTTTTATTAACTTCATCTTTTCCCCCGGTGCTTTTTCCCTTTATTGAGAGAACCAATTTTCTTATAAACACGGCAAAAACTCTTGACCAGAAAGTTGACAACAACTTACCGGCTAACATTAAGACTAACAAAAACCATGAACCGCAATTTACTATTCTTATTCTTTTTCTTGGCTTCAATTTCAGTCATCAACGCTATTCCCTACCAATTCAATAAAAGAACAACCGGGTTTATCGAATGTGGGCCAATTCCTGGCAATCCTGTTGATATCACAGCACTCACGGTAACTGTATCACCAGATCCTATCGGTTCCAATCAAGACGAAACATTTACGATTTCTGGAACCGCGAAAGAGGATATTTCCACAGATGCCGAACTTTCGGTCACTTACAACACTATCGATGGCTTCGTTATAGGCATGCCCTTTTTCGTCAAATTTTGTGCAGACGGCAACACTTGTCCGGTTAAAAATGGAGACGAGTTTACTCGAACTGTTATAGCTAAGGCGCCGACGTTACCCACGGCATATAATGTGACAATCATAGTTAATGATAATACAGTAAATACAGGAGAGGTAATATTTGGCTGTGCATCGGCCACAGTCAGTGCATAATCACTTGAGACTAAACAAACAAATCATTCATCACTTTCATACATTATCATTACATTATCATATCGTTACAAAGCGGCCGAATTATAGTGTGTAAAGAATGTCAAAGCATCGATATTGACATTCATGTTGCTTCCTCTATTGTGAAGATGTTTGAATTCAAAAGCAAAAACTCTTGCAAGAGTTTGTCTCTTATTATAATATAATCACTCTTTTATTAAATTGGTTAACAATTTTTCCAAACTTGAACCAAATAAATATTTTAATTCTTTATATCCGGCTTATTATTATATAATATTAGTCACATGACCATACATTACTAATACAAGCAAACGAATTTACGATTTCATCCCATGCAATATATCGTTTAACAAATAACTCGACCTAAATAACAACCATATTGGTTTTGGTGGGAATGCAGCGAGGGGCTATTTCAGAATACATTAATAAATGTCAAGAAAAGAGACAATGTAAATCGCGAAAGGCCTTTAAATAGCAAGCTACATTCATAAAGACTTGCCGTCACTTTTTTCATTTGTCTTGACAAATTACATGTAAAAAATTTTTTTATATGGTGCACCAACTCTATACTCGATAATAAAACAATCTATCTTTAAACCCTTTCTGCTCAACGTAGAGGCGTTTTTTTAAAAATCAGCCAGTAATCATGTTTATCGCGATACGCTTTACAAAGTTACTGACTGATTTGTCATAAAAACGCTTCGACATTGAGCCGAAAAATTTTATAATTAGAGTACTTTTTTATAATAATACATAAGCTCTCGAGATTTACGTACGGCATACGACATACATTATAATATGTAATTGAGATAAAAGGCTAAATTTCTACGGCTAGGCGACTGCTAAGTTTCCTGTTTTGTTCTAGCGTTAATAGCTCTATCGCAGGCATCTATTTCGTTTTGACAGGATTAAAACATGTCATTTTGTACATTCTCCAACAATTACACTGATCATACGATATATATATTTCGTAACAGTTGTCAAAATCGTTAATTCTTCAACAATGCTTTCAATCATACGATACAATATTTCGTAATCTCGTAGATACATCAATCATACGATATTAAGTTGCGGATATAGTATGTCAAAATTGTTACACAATATGTCAAAATTATTAACGTTATTATGCTTTTACTGCCATCCATCCCAGTCGCATGTGATTCTCCGAGGCTTTGCCGGAGTCCGCCTATTGGTTTGTTAAACTGAAATTTGGTTAATGAGCTATCTCTCCTCTACCAAATTTAGTAACTCGAAACGTTACCATATTTGGTAGGGGAGGTAACTGATGAGAACGCACCTGGATTCAGAAATAATACAGCTTTTATTTAATCTCAATAAACTTGCTTTACATGAGTCTCAAAAGTAAACAAAAAAGCACGTGTATGTGTACGCCCGTTTACAGCCTTTATGTTGGATGCTAACGAACTGTGATGAAAAGTTCCATGTTTCGACAATTATTGATCTTTGTCAATGAGAACCAACGGTAAACTGTCTTGCAAGATGAGTGTCTTAAGGAAAAGGCTGGTGTACGTCCATTCAGTTCTATTTATCTTTCGTCAAAGTCGAAGCTCAAACTTCAAGTGGGATTTTCAATATCAAACTCCACTTGCTTCAACCCCCAAAACTCGAATCTTGACCGGCATTTTTAAATCGATCGATGATATTAATTTCGATGCACCAGTGCGTGCAGATCTTGCAAAATTTACCCCAACTCTAACCTTAGCTAATACACAGTGAAAGTCGACATAACGGACCGTCATATGGCGGACACTGATTATAACGGACTTTTTTTCTGGGACGGAATTTATAAGTGTCATATTAAATTTCTAGTTACCAATTTTTCTAAATTCGTTTTCTCAATTTTCAACCGCTCCAGATAAGTACTGAGTTAGATCTATGAACCGGAGCATTATCATCTTGAAAGACATAAGTTTTTTCATCACATAGGCTTTCAATAAAAGGGACTAAATGATCTTCTAAAAGTTTTTTATAGACTTGGTCTGTAATATTTCCTTCTAACACTGCTAATGGGCCAAGTCGATTTTTGACAAAACAGCCCCAGACCATTAACCCTTCACTATTACTCTTACTGTAGGCACTAGACAGTCTACTACTACATCATATTTCTTATGAGGCCTACGCCAAACCCATTACTGACCATTGTTTTCGAATACAAGAAACCGGGATTTATCGCTCCAAATGATTGTATTCCATTGTTTATCCCGATCTCTACGTTTGCGACACCATCTTAAGCGTTTTATTCTGTTATTCTCGGAAACGAAGGGGATTTCTCTTTCCAATGCAGCCAAAAAAGTTATGGTTATGAAGTACACATCTAGCAGTACTAGTACTAACCTGGGTAAGGCCTAGGCTGTTGAATAACTCAGTAATCTCTTCAAGCAATTTTTCCCTACAATCTTTGATTACCCGATAAGAGCTTGCTCATCACACTCAGTGGTTTCCCTGAACGAGGAAGAGTTTCCGTGAGTCCATCTTTTTCAAATTTGTTAATAGCATTATTGCAAGTAGTTCTGGGTATTTTTGAATGTCTGTCGCGTTGTGCTTGACCTTGTAAAGTCCGATAATCATTCCACGTTCAAAAACAGAGAGTTTACGGGACTTGGGCATTTTTTATAACACATAGTAAGTAAAGCTAAAGTGAATTTATTATTTTCGAAAGCCACGGTCATTATCTGCTTGAAGAAAAAAATGCTTGAAACTAAGTTAGATTACTATGAGGTATCTCAATTGCGACGGGCACAATTTTATTTACTGATCACAAAGTGACGGATACTTTTGGTGGGTGGGGTGTATGTCCATTCGAAATAAACGTATGTCAGTTTAGAATGGACATATGCCAGATTAGAATAGTAAAGACAATTAGTAATAACATATTCTATTGACATTACAATATCAACTCTGCTTGCGTATAAACAACTGGATTTGTCATAAATTTTAACGTTTGGCATAAAAATAATAACACATACGCGCTGGTATCACTATTTATATTTATATTATGTTGTTTGTATACCCTGAATCTCCCCTCATTATAAATAGCATCACACGTAACATTGTCGATTATGAGAGTGGAAGTTTAAGTCACAAATGACTACTGCTTTGCGACAAGCGCGTTGAGCTGTCGAGAAACTCGTCTTGGCCACTTATAGCTATAAACACTCTTTAAATAGTTCATGTAAAATGTTTGCAATTTGACTAGTGTTATTATTCTTTATTCAAGCATATTGAATAATACTACGTACGTAATTACATGTTACATAACAACAGCAAAAATAAGTTATTAGTAAAATTTTTGATGCATTATTATATATTGCATTGTGGAGCCTTAAACATTGGAGCTCGTTTAAATCACTGTATTAGGCAACCGAAAGGCATAGGCTTTTGAACGTTCAGAATAGTAACTATGTGGATGTGTTGACGTATTACGAAAATGAACGCCGCGAAAAAAAGTCGACTTTTTTTCTCACGTACTAGTACGTCATTATTCATATGCCCCATTTCCTTAATATTTGCAGCGGGACAAATAACAATTATTGGCGCGGATTTTCGCACCGTTTGAATAAAGTATTGCGGTGCCGTCACTTTTTTTGGAACCATTCTAAAATTTACGCCCGGTGAAACAAGATCGTGCTATAGCTACCATGATTTTGCACAAAATGAATGACTCGCTTTATGTAGCTATTCGCACAATCAAGAATTCAATTAACAATATTCTATACATTATAATTGATATACTGTACATGGCTTATAACACCCTATTGCAACAAATATGCCAACTTAATTTGTAAATATAATTCATGTGGAACAAAATAAAATATGATTGTCTTGTAATTCCTGTTTAATAAAATAAAAATATTAGCAACATTGATTTTTATAAGCAACTCACGTTTACTGTCATAATGTACCTCAAATTGTTGCCTCTTAATTTCTGTTAAGCAATGTTCTACTAGAGTATTTGCTGTTTCCTTTATAAATACTGTCCCACTCACTCTCGCACGTCCTTGGGTTAGTCAATCCTCTAATACATTTTATAATATCTGAAAGGTCTGGACGATTTTCAGGTTGAGAATGACAACATTTCTCTGCAAGTTTTTTATATCCTTCTGGTGCTGACTCTGGCATCATTGGTCGTAGTTCTTCACAAATTTTCGTAGTTAAATCCTCGTCAAACCGGTAACTTTCAAAAGGAGGTTCGCCACTGGCAATTTGGTACATCAAAATACCAAAAGAGTATATATCCGCCTTTACGGTAAATTTGCAAGTTTCATGCACTTCTGGCGCAACGTACGGTAAAACACCTTGGATGATTTTTACGCCCCATTCAAAAGAATTTATTGGTTGGCAGTGCCTTAGGTCGCAGATAATTGGATAAACATTGCCTTCTTTCTTGTGCATGAGTATATTTCCACCATGAAGATTACAATGTATTAACCCTGCAGCGTGGATACTTTGTAATTGTTTTGCAATATGCAGCAGGTACTTTAATTTCATTTTCCAAGTCAAGCATTTGATTTTTTGGTTCAAAAAAGAAAAAAGGTTGCCATAATCAGCAGCTTGCATTACAATCATATGCCCTTTTTCTGGATGTTCTGTGATCCCATATATTTTACAGGAATCGTAATGACATCTTGCGTAACCGTAACATCTAACCTGCATTTTCAAAAATAAAATAACAAACATTCAGTAACATGCTGACTTTTAATCAATAACCACCCACGACTTGCTTACCTCGGCAATAAATGACGTTATTGTTTGATTGCAATCTTCAAACCATTTTAAAGCAACACGCTCTGAAGAATTACTATATTTTGCAGTATAAATTACGGTATTCTCTCCAAAGCCGACCTCTTCAATGTCAGTTATCATGTTAAATGGTATAACTACAAGTGTATCGTCGTAATGTTTACTCAATTTCATAAAGTGATCCAGACATGAGATTATATCACGGTGAACCACCAAATAATAACTACAAGTTTGTGGGTCGTGGGTTATGCCAATAATCCGAACATTTGCAGGAGTTAATATCGTCGGGTAAACTGCAGTTAGTTGCTGTTCAAAGAACAATCATGTTAATATTGCTTAAAAATATTCGCTAATTGTTTACGGATCAATGATAATTACCCTGTAAAAATCAAACGCCTGAGCGTCCTCTCCGTCACATATCAATTTAAGCGCAACTTCCGTAGGATTAGTCTCTGTTACCCACTTGGCCGTGTGTGTGCATTCAAAGTCGGGGGACGACGGCATTTCTTGAAAATCATTCAATTGATCAAACGGTATCCACCGTATGTAATTGTCAGCTATGTTATAAACATTTTTCCATGAAGTCGTCATCAACAAGTCCAGGGACTCATTGCCGGTAGTCCAGTCGGGCAGTCTCGGCGCTTTACATTGAAGACAAAATATATTCGAACCGGGATGCAAACATCTTGTGCAACTTAGACATAGTTCACTGTTGTGCGAGTCCTGTTCAGAGCGTACTTTAATCAAAGCGTATTTTTCCTGTTCTGGGTGATGTGTGAAACCAATGATACTCCAAACATTTTTATTGTGTATATCCGGGTAACTTTCACCTAACTATATAAAAATCAAGTCAATAACTATCCGGAACAGTCAGCAGTCTTGCAATTACTACGTACCGCTTGAAAATCGAAATCACCCGTTTCTTCTGATGGTTCAAGCAGAACCAAGTCTATATCGCTGTAGGTTGGCATACCGATAGTCGGATACGCGGATAGGTTGTGGAGACAACAATTTAGCATGTCAAACGGAATCCATTCCAAGTAGGCTTCATTTGCTGATTGTGTTTGCATTTGCGTTTCCTTGATAAATTCGTCAATACTTTCGCTCCCACTAGTCCATCCATTTGACAATTCTTTATGACCGCAAATACACCATACAGGACTGCATCTGAGAATTTTGCATTCGGAGCACCATCCATATAGATCAATACACACATCAAGGTTCTTGTCAGTTATCATATAGTATTTATCTTCATGTTCTGCAAACCCATATATCAATCGGTTGCGATTGTTTAACCAAGTCGGGTATCTTCTGAAGCGATTAGCATCGGTTGGCTTGTCATACTTGTGTGTAGGAATAGAGAACTGTTTCGTAAAGTTATTTACAAACTCTTGCAAACGGTTGTCGTCGTTGTCATCGTTGTCATCGTTGTCATCGTTGTCATCATTGTCATCATTGTCATCATTGTCAAGCGATATTATTAAATATTGCCCACACAGTTTTTGTCTTATAGGGCCTTTTTTGGTAAAACTTTGGGTTTGTTCTTCAGGTTTTCCGAATTGGAAAATTTTCTTGCGGTTGCGCCGGTCTTGTAACAAAAGATGTTTCCATTCTGGTAACTCATTTCCCATTTCATCTTTTTTTGAAGATTCAACTAGGCACTCGATTTCTGAACACAAATCAATTGGAGACATTTTGCTGAAGACAGCACAAGGTAGATTTTTGATGTTGAGAGTAAAAATTGGGGATTGATTGAATCACAACGATGAACGTCGAAGTTATTATCTTGAGGGTTTGCATCTTTTTATTATCCAGATTATCTGCTCAGCCCTCTGTGAGAGGTAGGCTAAGAGTTGGTCATACAAAAACAAAGTGTTGTTGGGAGATGTGACTATATTGCGGGTGGATGAACAAACTGTGAACTCTGACAGTATGAAACATGGCGTACAATATTGGTCAACATAAATCGGAAAGTGAACTATCAAATACACACAATTTTCAAGCTCTTGTTATATAATTTATATATTGAGGCCAGTCGCTCTGGTATAACTTGCCTGATTACTACAATCTCGTATAAGTGATTTTAAACCGGTATCAAACCGGATTCCGTCAAAACAATTTTGCTATCATTAACGTACCACATTTTCTTGCTCTTGTGTCTTGAGATCTGGCAACTGCGATTCAGAATGAATTGATATCGTTGCGCTTGTTTAATCCCGTCGTAAACAATTCCAGTTCATCTGATGATAAACAGTGCATACTGCATACATTATGCAACCGAACAGTGCGGTGCATATGGAGTTGTTTGAATACGAAGATCAACAACTGGCGTAAATCGAAATACAGTATTCCATAAAAGCGAATACATGGACCCTTAGTGTAACAAATACCGCATACTGTATACTTCATAACCAAATAACAGAACTCAATTTAAAAGAAGGCATGGATTTCGGATTAAATGTTTAACCGAATTGTATCGTTAGAAACAACTTTTGTTTTTTGAGCGAACGCAACACGAAGAATAGACCAGTCGGGGAAATTGTTTCCTTGATAACCGCGGTATGGTCAAAATTAAAGAAGCTTTCATGAGTTGGGTGTCTGCGTTTTTTGAAAAGCAGTTATATCGCAAACTGCTTATCTCGATCAAGTGAAATTATCAACATTCCAATGATAATTAAATTGACTAAATATAAAGCAAAAGTTAACACTATTCCGTCGTCACTTCTTCGAGTCATATGGCATTTCTTTTTATTACTGATGATCATTGGTTAAGACATATAATGGGTAGTAGGGAATGAACCGAAGAAAGCCATAAATTTACAGATCCCATTAACTACAACATAGCCAGTTACCTGTCAGACGACTACGATATAATAATAAACTTAATTCTGTTGCACAGTATGGGTGTGCAACAGCCGGCGAAATTATACTTATTGCGCATTGCTCAATACTGCTCATATAATTATAGAGGATAAGAAAGAGAGCTAAGTGAAGATGTTCCGACAATGGAACGAGCAATAATTACAAGAGCAAGAAAACATGGTTGAAGCTCACTGACAGTAAGTTTTCAAATTTGACACTCATCAACTCGCTAAAAGCACAACCCTACGCAAAATCATATCCGATCCGTATCTGCATTCAAAGAACTCGAAAACTCGGTACGAAACTTTCTCACTCTTGTTGGAACGGCGACTACAATTTACTTTACAACGATTACGTACGATTTTAGATAGAAATTGGATATGTCGGAAGATATCAGAAGCTAGGGTTTGTACCGTATGAAGATTTTAGCGAAATTGAAGAAATTGGTTCTGGCGGAGTTATAGAGTACATCGCCAAGTGTAAGTCATGTTCTTAAAGGGTCTAAGAGTTTCAATCAGAGCCAGTGCTACTTGTTTCCGAAGTAAGAACGCTCATATCATTACCTCGGTCAGAATTGTTTGCAGTTACAGGCTGATTAATATTAAATTTAATAGTTTAGGAATAGTACATGCTTGTAACGGAATATGCGAGCGAGGGCGAAATAGTAACGAGAATGAAGTTAGAACATTTGATAAAACGGTCAGATACTTGTTGACGGCAATCTGTATTCCCAGTGTCCATGTGCTGTTTCTATAGACTCTAGAATGACAATCCAGGATTCATGCCAAGTCAAATCTTAGTGGATCAGAAGCAGATGGTTGAAAGAAGGAAAGGAAAAGGTTGGGGAGGAGAATGCCGTATCGATTCAGTGTCAATGTGAGATGTGAGTAAATAAAGTGTATCAATTGTTGATATCTTTGTACATGAGATGTTGGACGTCTTTATGCACATATTAATATTCAGTAAGCATGACGGATGTATTGTGATATGGTTTGTATTTATTTAAAAATTAATTCTATCATCACTTCCCGTTTCATTTAATATTTCTTCGAATAGATGACATATACTTCGTATAGAAGGTGAGTTCTGATTCTAGCTGGATAATATGACAGCACTATTACGCGTTACTAGTGGTGATCAATGCACCCACAAATATCCTCTCTCTGATCTCACTTCCTTATCTAAATCATCTCTCGAAAGTATGCGATATTCCCAAACACTAAAACTCGGCGTAGGTGTGTAGGTTATTGAAACAAAGTGATTGAACCTTGAATTCTTGGCATAGCCGCACACTTATCATCATGCGGAATACGTTTACCGATTACCGTGACGCAAGTACTTTCTTTGCTTCAAGTAAGAATACCTTATTATTGCAAACAAGAATGCCGTGCCATCCCATTATCACTTCTGCGCCTTATACTGTACATTTCTCGAGTCAGAAACGTTTTCAGAGGTAACTTAATATACTACTCAATAAGTATATATTTCATATAAATAAGAAAATAAAAATATATATTGGGAAGCTTAAATCTATCTATAAATCAGGGTTTCCTTCCTTGGCCACCCACTGCGGAGTGTGGGTTTGGTGGTCCTTCGTCGGTAGTGTTCCAGAAGGTCTGCTGTATCCGGCGCACTGTTGTGGGTTGTTGATCTTCGAACATGTGAGCAGCATCTTCGGTGTATCCCCTGACACATATCTGTGAACTTGTCTGGGATAAAGTATGAGAGGCGTTGCTTTGTGGGAGGTTATTATGTGCTGCTCTCCACAGCAGTTCCTGTATCTTTGGAGGGTTTCCCTGATTTAGGTTATTACAGCTAGCAACGCTTCATCTTTCATCACTTGATTCTCGACTTCCGTCCAGGCATCTCCGTTCTTGATGGCGGTTAGATAACTAGAGTGTATGTCATACTTTTCGCGGGTATTACATCGTATAGCAAGTTTTGGACGTTCACCGACATCAGACATAAGTCTTAGCTCCTTTGCGTCGATTCTTCTCAAAAATCTTCGACTTTTGTCCAGGCATATACATTCTTTATTGCAGTCAAATAACTGGAATATATGTCATATTTTTCGCAAAGTTTGTTATGATAATTCAGCTGTACTTACAATGTGTGATAAAAAGTGAACGTACATTGCATTACAAAATAATTAACGATGCGAGTAAACAAATGTAATTACGCGTTACCGTTGCTTCTATGACAAGTTCGCATCAACTTTCATTGTCTTGATGCTTTGGTGTTGGGTTTACAATTACGCAATTACAATATTTTTATAACTCAAAACATATCGTTCCGAAGAAAATTTTAGCAAGCAAGTCTACATAAAACGCTGCATTATATTTTGGAAAAAATGTTATTCGATTCTTTGAGTTAAGTCAGATCGTAACTGATAATATAAACCGTACTGATGAGAACATTTTCGCTTGTAATTTCCATACCGTTCTGATTCCGCAACGTTTTATAATTGGACCGTCGAAAAGTCTGCGTAATTAATTAGTAAAAAATGGCTTTTTTTCGAAAGTCTTATTTATTACTAAGCAAACAACAAATTTAAAATATTATGAGTTGTAAGAAGTGAGGATATATATTACACACATACAGTGTTTTATATGATTTACGTATGTGTAAATGCTAACAAACATTAATGGCAATTATAAAAAAAAGACCAAAAACTAAAACGTTTAACTGAGAAGACAAATGATTATGCCTATTTTTATATTTTATCAAACCAATTTATCTAAAAAACTATATACAGTAGATAATTTTATTGACTTTATGTATTCTAATGTAAATAAATACGTTTTCTTGACAAGAAGCAGATTGCGATTTACGATTTTCTGATTACTACGCGTCTTCTTTTTTAAGACACGTCGAATGGTATTTATAGTTTTTTATTCATTGCTTTTAGTGCTGAGTTATTAAAAGTATCCTACTCGAACCTGGAGAGAGCTTGAAATGTTCCGCGTAATTAAGCAAGCACCAAAAAATACGCTGTCGCTGTTGTTATTTTATATTCAGATATAATTTCGTTATTTTATACTATTACATGACTCTTTTGTTATTGTCGTTGTTATTATTGTTCTCATTCTTGTTATGTTACTTTAAAAACCAGCTTTTGTCAAATTTCTTCAAGACTTGTCATTTTGTTGTGATCAGTGGCTTGATCTTCACAATTGTCGTTTGTTACATGTCACAATATAGAATATACCCGCATAGACCACTCACTGCATAAAAGCGAAATTATGTCGCTATGCCTACCTACATACATCAGTGGGTCAGGCATAAGTATAGCAGAATTGCTATCTAGTATACCATGAATGATGTAATAGTAAGGAAAGCCGATAAACTCTTAAGCATTGTTAGTAGGAGAATTGGTATTCACAGTCCCTATCGACCACACTCCACGTCACAAAAACGACAGCCCTGCAGCATTTATATGTACTCTGAGTAAGACGTAGAAAATTTTGGAGTGTGAAATACAAGTTCTGTGATAATCGAGGAATTATTTACTTCTTTGTAGACAAAACAGCCATATCCAAAAAACAAATCAACCCTGACCACAATCCAATAACACACGAAACCAACCAACTTTTTGTCATGTACCAACATTTGTCCGTATTATTTTATCGGTACATTATTAATTAAATAAAAGTTACAGCAAAAAAAAAAGGTTAAGTCATAGCTGTATCTCCATCTACTATCATGTCATGAGTATAATAAAATCCCTGTCAATGTTTGTTTTATAAATTGCATTCAAATTTTTATTGCAATGATCCAAAGCGTTGATTTGCTCAAAACTATATAATAAACCAAGTAAATTAGTCATTGCGAAAAATTAATTGTAAATTTTTTCTCTATTAGTAAAACAAATCTCGCAAACACTACATCGATTTACTACTACTCTAGTCTCTAACTTCGTCGTTTACGTCATGCCTCTTCGCTCTACAGCGACTGATGACTAATTCTTCACCTCCATGTGTTTGTCCTAAAAATAACCATTTTTATTTAACATTCGAAACCCATACGTACGTAACACTAATTTCTTTTCAAGTACTTCTTGATCCTAGTAGGTCTCTCATTAACAACTCACGCCGGTATAGAACAGAGTTGACTGTATAAATTAATAATTAATTGACATAATAATGTCTATTGATAACAGAGAAAGTTAATTATGGCGTAATAATTGGTACTGACAATATAAGTAAATGTGACATATGTTCAACAAAAAAAAACTAATTAAAAAGTGTATGAGCATAAGCTCAAAACAGCAGACCTGTGACAAAAAACATAACCCGACAAGCTCTTTATTTAGAAAAGATTTAGTTGATTACGACGAAAGCGATCAGTCCAACACCGATATATATCTATCCACTATCATCATATTTTGGTCAGTTCCCAGACAGTAGCGACCCACCTGACGAAGACATTGAAGATTGCTATGTACAGTATGTATTATATTCATTAAGTTCAAATTTAAACGGAAAACAGTCTAAGGGATAAATGCCCATTCGTGTAAAAAAACTTGGGCTTTGCAATATTAATATGCCCCAATACAAGTTCAAGACATATCGGTTTCAACAACATTATTAACGTACACGTTTGTTATCAACGATTTGTATAAATATCCTTGCGCTCAAAAGTTTTAATCTTTACCAATGCACCCTAACAGAATTCAACTTCAACCATATCGAAATGACATTTGCACGTTTAGCAGACAATCCCAAACTCACCAATCAAGTAGTGGATGGGGTCTTGTTGCCACAATTTCCATAATGGCCTGCTTTATCAACGTTTGCGCAACCTACAAGACCGATTTCGAATAAAGAACATAGCTGAAACCATGATCGTCACCCACACATAACAGACAATGACATTATTATTATAACAATTCCAATGTATTAAACTACACTACTAACATTGTATTAAAATATAACGCTGTTGGTCTAATACAGATCACGTCTAGAATCAATTGAGTCGAGAATTGCACACATTACATTTGAAACAAACTTGGGGCGCGATAATATTATGTAGCACATATGATTAGCGTCGGCCGATTGTCATGTGAGTGGCACATTCTTGTCAAAGCAAATATTTTGTCAGGTGAGCAATATAATATGAGGAATGCCCCTGTTTTCCTGCATGCGGGAAGATCAGTGACCAATCGTTGCCAAAATGAAATCATATGGACTATGATGCAAAAAACATATCGAACGAATAAATTACGGCTAGGTAGTTATGTTGTCACTCGTGCAACCAAAAACTTTATCTCTTTTTCTATCTTTGACCTGACTCGCAGTTAGTTGAATCCAATAGTGGGCTTTTGTGGTCGATACAACTTATGTTGATTTAAAAACAAACAAAAGTTAATTACATTTGTTTAGCATTTTTGGCTAATCATTGCTATTACCAATTAAAAAAAAACGCTCAACCACAAACTCGTGGACTTTGAGTAATAATTATTGCGTATGAAATTATGAATAGACTTGTCAGTTGTTAAAATGCCCTCCATGTTTCTTTGTTTCAAGAAAACACTCGTTTACGCTAGAATAAAATAATGAATTAGTGGTGAGATTAATTACGAATAAAGTGAAATTTGCCAATAGCATGCACGCCCAAGATCATAAGGGATGAATTGTTGGATCAACCTAAAGTCTGACTTGCCCTAATCAAACACGGGATGAATTTAACCAACATTTGAGCACAAGAAAAAAGAGAATTTGAAAAAGGCAATTGCATTAAAAAGCCTACTTCTTCACACATCCGTCCTGTATAAGAGTGTGTTACGGACTGCTTGTACTCCATTAGTTTAATTAATAAAGGCACGAGGCGATCCTGTGAAAGTGACACAATTCGTTTACAAACAGTTTCTTTTTTAAAAAAATTCTGACGATCAAAATACATAACCCCTTTGCGATAATTAATAATGACAATGGTTTGACTGCCAAACTACCTTGCATTTATTTTCTGATTGGTAACAAGCCATACGGAAGGAGCAGTTTCAAACATAAACCACTCTGGGTACACGTGGTATATAAGAGATAATTTAATGCATTTGTTACAATATAATAATGAGGGAAAGGACAATACCTAAACGTGGGGGGATGTGAGGGATTTAATTTTGCCCCACCAAATGTTAGACAGGGATGCAGATCGGGTAACACAAATCTCTAATGTTAAATTACATCCCTCATCGCAAATGACGCTAAGAACTAAAAGTTGACACTGACGCGACAATATTGGAAAACAGGCGTACATAAGTTTAATTCCTATAAAAAGAAACACAGTCTAATGTATTAATACCTGCCAATGAATGTTGGCTTATTACATGCATCTTTCGAAAAATTTGTGTGCCATGGTTAATAACTCAATTAACAATTGCTCTTTGAACTTTGTTCGAATTGAAGCAAATTCGTGTCACTTTCTTCTGAGTTAAAAGGAACTCTTTCATTCAGAGCGTCGGCAAAGTTTGATTTTTGTTGTGCTATTTGTTCGCACTAGCGTCATTACTACCGGTTTTACAATGGCAAACTGGAGCTCGGAGGTATTATTACAATAGTAAATAACGTATTGCCCAAAATATATTAAATACATTATGATCGTTTAATTAATTATTACCTGGGTGTAGGAGGATGTCGTTTTGATTGAACTCAACGCACGCGGCTTTGGGTGGAATTATATTGCACGAGTGCTGAATACTACCAAGACCCCGCACGACTGTGCAGCTCGGTAGGTTTTGTTCAGTGTTTCTCTTTACAACATGTGTGTTGGATTATACTAACACGATTGAACAATAAACTCTTGTATTTATTCAAGATGGAACAATGTTCTACGCCCTGGAAGTTAGTATCTGTCTTTCTTTGTAATCTAGCGTTATTTCTTGCATGCTGTATACTAATGAGAATATTGTATTATTTTGAAATTATACAATTAACAGTTAACGACGAAAGTCCGTTCGATCTGATCGAACGTACAACTCTCAACGAGCTGTACCAAACACACGGTGCCAGGTGGTCTAGAATCGCCTCACATCTCGGTCGATCCCCTCGTGCGGTAAAGGAGATGTGGTTACAAATGCAAATGGAGCCAGAATAGCATACAGCAGTATGACTATAATTTAAAAATTTTAAATAATTTAGCTTCAAAGCAATAATAATAAGCTCTTTATTCTAGAACAACGGTGTGCATGGTCATAAGGCCAAAATTTAATTATGAAGAAAATGCTATATTTATACTTATGTAAGACAGTAAGATCAAGTGATCTTACGATAAGAATTTTAATAACGCCGCAGCTATACACAATTATGTATTTCTATTACTTATACTATGTGACAAAAATGAGTTTTTGAGTCAGCAACTAAATAATAAAGACTGCATAACTAACCTACGGGTCTGTCGAAGCAAAATATATTGATATATTGGCCAAGAACCCCCCGATCATATAATCTGTACCTAATATTGCAAAGCTTTCTGTTCTGGGCTGGTAATATTAGACAAGATGCCTATTGCGAATCGGATTTCGCTACGCCCAGAACAATATTTAAACACTGCGTGCATAATTATAATATAGTTTAGCCTTGGCAGTTTGCTATATCGACTATCAAAGTGTGTACTATCAAATTTAATTATAGATTTCAAATAGACATTTAGGAACCGGCCTCAATAAGGCTTCTGTTAATGTCTATCTATGTAAACAGGGACGCACGCTGATCAATTTACTTCATATGCACCAGCGAGACTTTCAAAACGTTGTTTTGCAGATCACCAATGTATGATCATCTGACCCATCAATTAATTAAAAATATACAATTGATCAGAAGATAATGACGACTCGGCCCCCGGTTGATCGATAATGATTATACTTACATTTTTATTTCTAATTGCATTTCAAACTTGTATTTGATTTGAAGATCACACTACCTGCTGACACTGTACCCCCGTCGCTAGTAATCCGAAGGACCTTGTTATTGTCAACGGCGTCTTCACAAGAGAGGAGTCTCGAATAACGACATTTTGTCATGACGTAGAACAAAAAAATCTATATATTGTTTGGTTTCGCATCAAAGTTGATACTCAAACATCGTCCTTTACGCTAAACTAATTTGGCTAATGGCATGGCAGCAAGTTCACGGACTTTGTAGGTATTAAGGTTATTATTTATTTATTGGTTCATTACGAACCCAAGTTGCATACCCAAGGTTTATTGTAGATAGCGTCAACCGTGTAGTCCTAATCTGACACCAAGGCAAGTGACGAGTGTTCTTCTATTCCAATCATGGTACTTTAGCTTTCATTTGTAATAAACATCAGGTGTTTAGACTAATAATTATTAGTTTAGACCAAAAGCAATCCGTGCAAGCATTTTCATGCATGTGATATTCCATACTCTGCTGTGTCGAATAATAAGTCTTTATGTAATCAAAGTCTGTTACATATAATATATTGACAGCTTGGTATTTGAAAAACCGACTCGTTAGATGCGACCATTACATTCAACAACTGTATAGTCATTTATCCGTCAGATTATTGTTATGACAATTTTTGCTGGGAGCAAGCAGGAACCGCAAATTTGTATCAGCCAATCCAAATCAGTGTGTTCCGTTGCTTTTTCTTTTCACTCCAAGACTTTGTTATTTTTTGCCAAAAGAAAACATATTTCCGAAGCCATTAGAACCCTTTCTCTCACTTGCAAATTTTTGGTTTCGATCATGTGGTTTTTAATCTGCGACACAAATTGGAACGGAACGGAACGGAACAGAAATAATAATACTCATGCAATTCAATTACACAAGGTCACCAGACGCAAAAGTGATACACTTAGGGATTCTGTGTCGAGGTTCCCGAGTCAGTGGATCGGCAAATGCCCCAAAAATTTTGCACACATGTATAATAATAATGAATTTTTCGCAAATTTAATGATAAAAGCGCTGGGTTCCAAGCGCTGTGCGTTGTGCTATATTAAATAATTACTATTATTATTGGATAAATTTTTGGGTATTAGGGATATTTATTTCTATGAAAAAATTTAATAGAAACAACATTGTATATATAAATGCGTTTTTTTGTTCTGTTGATTTTTTAGGATGTGCGAAAAGTATCTGTGGCTGTGTGGCGGGGGCATACCAGAAAATCTGGGGTTATCCCATAAACGGGAACTTTGCGTGAGCTTTATCATGTGATGTTACTTAAATATTCTGTAAAAGGCAACCGTAAACGTCATGATGCAGAAACATGTGATATGTGACTATTGGTTGAGTTCACGCAGCAAATTTTATAAGAGAGAGAAACCCCGTTGTTTACACCTCAAGAACGCGCTGCAAACCAAAAAAACCAGTACTCTCGGGTGTGGTTCACCCATTATTTACGTCTTCCTTACCTATCCACTTCTACCTACGAAGTAGTCGTAAGCTCAGCCACGTCAATGAGAACCCGTAAAGCACCTGGCAGTGCTGGAAGGCTGTTTCTGACTGGTGAGCGGCTCTGATGGCTTTTGATCCGGCCAGCCAACGAAGAACAACCAAGCAAAATCCAAACGTCTGTAGTAATTAACAGATATTTGACAAAGTCAGGACAGCCGTACCACCCCTCAATACAATGGTATCAAAAAGCCTGCTATCCTTTCTACGTGTGCGTGTGTGCGGGGGGTGGTCTTTCGAGTCAGATGGTTGAAAAAGGTAGACAGGTTTACAAACTTAACCCCGCTTATTGTACCGCTAAAGTTTTTTACGAGTTTTAACGAGTTTGTTGTTTTTTATTATTCAAGTGATAGAATCTCAATGCGGTATTAATCGGGGATTATTCACGCCAGTTGTGAACATGACAAGTTCGAATGGCTCGCAAGCAGTTGTCCATAATATTTGACAACGTCGTTGGAAGTACATTTAACGCCAAATTTTAATATGCCCAGTTACCTCGAGAAGCGTCCCAAGGATCGAAACAATATTGCCAGTCGCTTGTTATGTATGGTTGTGGGATTTGCGCAAGCAGATATTTAATTCCCGAATGATACTCGTATTGAAAAACGAATTGCAGATTCGAACAAATGTTCGATGTGTGATTAAACTTTGATAATGAATTTGACAATTAATGGAAAAACGTTTAGATTCTGACAATGAATTACAATAAACGTTTAGAATGATTACCCTCATGGGTTAACCTTGTATTCATCGCGAAAATGAATGTCAATATTGTTAACAAGAATTCGTGCTAGTGTTCCATTAACTCGAAACGAATGTCCCAAGTGACTATCTCTCACAGCAAGCGTTAGCAACTTACTCGATTATGTGTGAATTAATAAGAGATTGAAAGGACACTCGAACGTCAGCAACATTAGTATTAGTCAATGAAACCTGCCGAGTGCTGGCTTATTCACAGATCGGATTGAGCTGGCGATCGCAATTGAAGAACAGTAATTGTATAATACAGATTTTACTATTTCATTTGACCGCCTTCCTTCCGTCATCTTGGGTGCTTCCGCCGTAACAAAAGATGCGCATTTAAACCTCTTTAACACATTAATGATACTAACAATACTTACTTCAGTGCTGTTTGGTCATCGTCTAGAAATCCACACAGAACTCTTTAGCTTGCTTGGTTCGACAAAGCATAGAACGACATCTCAAGTTTCGAGAATCTTTGATATATTTGGGCACTTGTATGCACTTTCTAATACTATTGTTATGTTTTTACAACAGTTATTCGACATTCCTCCAACAGATAAAAGTATTAGAAAAGGATTCATTGAAAATAGCTATCGTTGAGTTTGGCAACTTCGAACCAACTACACGTCACTTGCATAACTAGTTCTCAAAAAGCGCTTAAATAGCCTCGCTCCCCGACGCTGTTTGAGCATAATGTCCACTCATGGATGTATATCCGAAAAAATGACTTGATAATAAACTACTTCTGTCATTTGATAAACGAAAATCAACCAACGTTATTGTTAACTGATCCTGCAAATTGTCCCTGAAAGCGACGATGGTCAACCTTAATGTCCGAATTGCAAGCGATTCAATATTTAAACTGATTAGTTCGAATGAAAGGATAATTCTCCTGAAGCGACTATCGTAAGAGAAGCTTAATATTAACAAACGTAGAGCTGGTTCTAACTATAAGCCTTCTGCACTTTCGTGAATCAAAGCTTTGCAACGGACGCTGTAACTTGGTAATTTAATAATCGTTCGTTACGAAAAATTATGTTTAAAAATAAACGGAACGCGTACGTTTTCTAAGAATGAGAGTTAATAATGTTGCGTTAATATTATTAATTGTATCCTAACGGGAGAGTCTGATCTTGTTAATGTAAACGAGAGATATTGTCATCTCTTATATGTATAAAAGTAGAATGTGATTTTTGATAGGAAAACAATTCTTTCTTAAATGGCTGCTATTCACTTAACGTATTAATGAAGTAATCCAATAGTGTCAACTGAGTATGGATAACAACCGAGGTGGGACACTCATTAGAGTGTTTGGCTCACTCTTTTGAGAATGTTTATAATCAGTTTGCTGTCTTTGCTGAATCAGAGTTTAATTCTGGTGGTGATTGGTGATATTAATCAATAATGTCGCTGTTCCATTTTGATAACATTGCAATGTTGTTTTTGTTCCTATTGCCCGTAGTTGCATACGTACAAATATTGCACTTTCACAAAAGTCAGTCACTGTGCCGGCTATTTTTACTATGTCATCCGGCGAGAACGTGTTTGTAACATGCCGGTTTGAATTTTCTCTAGGGACATAAACTTGCTAAATTAGCTCGTTTGCAAATTGAGGAAAATGTCGTTTGCTTCAAGCAAACAGTTTCGGTCTTTATTGCCGTATATTTGATGGCGGTAAGTCAAAGTGGACGAGCATTGTTGCCGATATGAAGTGATATATTTTGTATAAGTGAGTTGGACGACTTCTTTATGGTCGATATGTAGTGAGATAGTTTTTGGTTTTATATACGTGGACGGTGGGTGAGGTTGCGTTTGTATTGTTGTGAAGCATGATGATTTTGCTAGTAAGACATGTTTGCATTCATAACGGAGACCATTGGCTGAGAGATAAATGAGACGCGTTATTTATTTTTTGTCTTAAGATTTTCGACAAATATTATTATGTTAAAGTTTTTTTTACAACGTCTGACAATATGGAAAACAAGCATAAAATATATTTTTGATTTTACAGTTTAACAATGTTATCATACAGTAAAGTTTGCCTAGTCGATGATATAATTTGATGTATCTAAGGAAGTAATGCTATTATAATGATAGTTTGCTTATGCGTCTTTGTTAAATGGTGCGCTTTTTACACATAACAATATAAAATAATAAACATTTTTGGGAGTTATCCGCAACGTCAATATTTGTATCTGATTAGTTTACAAGTAAAAATAAATATTTCAATTTCAAATTATAGAACCGAATTTTTTATGTATATTTAATTACGATTAGTATTAGACGCACAAGTTTTTGAAATTTAACTCAAACTCGATGTTACTATTTCTTCCAGACGTGTAAATTTACTTTATATGAGCACTTTATTTAGCGTTTGTAAACAAACAATGCGAAGTTAAATAAAATGGTTTGAACATATTTCTAAGGATCTATCTTTATTTAAGCGAAAATTTAAATAGACGTTAACCGGGTAAAGCGTACAGCCCATAACTACAGTGACAATAAGCAAAAAAAACTTTAGTTATAATAATATTATAACGACACTCTCGGGTAATAAAAAATTTAGATATTAGCTAATTTTTGAATAAAACAGTCTTCGGTGGTATAACAACAAGTAAAACGCGTGTTTTTTGTTAATCCAATGTTTATTTAGATTTCTAAGAGTTAAAAAACACCCACTTTTGCTTATCATACTCGTTGTTAAAAAAAAAGTTGTCGTTTTATTCATAACCAGAGTCACTTGTGAATGTAGTTCTCACGTTATTGTAGGCTGCTTCACACTTTACGTATGCCAGTGCATAAACGTAAGTATTAGTCATATGGTTCATAACTCGTGTAACAATTATACTTTCAGGGTATTAAACGGTGACTGTATTGTTAAAAATGGCTAAACTCGTTACTTGATGCAAAATTTTTTTCTTACGTTTTATGTCTTTCGGAAACTCTGGATGCTGCTCTTAACGACGACAGTAATGGAATAACGGAGATGTTCGACGCGACCGTCGAGTATTTGATAAATGTAAAAATTGGCGGGTTAATGTTAAAATTTTATGATTTTTGAAGACGGAAAGTTTTGCCAATTAATAATCGTTTATGCAGCGCAAAACTTTTGCCCGACTTGTTTTGTAGTTATATTTAACCATAGAATCACGTTTAGTTATGGTAAACGGGAAACACAGTCGCTCTACAATACTCGTTAGATGTTTACAAATTATCATTATGGCACATTTATACGGAGTTACATTTGCAACCAGCGACAAAGAATTTTTAGCAATTTAAACTTTTTTTTTAAAAAAAGCACTTCAAAACAATAAAGAGGTGGTTCGAACGTTAAAATATTATGAACAAAAACCGCTTAAGTCGTAGACTTTATACATGTACATCTTGTTGGTCTCTACTGTGCGGTCTATTCTACCTTTATTATACACTTCCTTTTATTTAGTGAACAAAGCTCCACAAATTAAAGTTCTCACGAAGACGACTACCAGTCTGTAATTACTAAATTTTTCAATCGCAGAGTTTAGCAATTTGATATTTTATATTGTATAAATCTGTCAAGATCAACATAGTGATCGATATATCATATTTTCGTTTTCCCAACACATCCAACATCATACGCGTTAACAAATATTACAGCTTTGCTTTGTTCGCGTCTACTTTGTAACGATTACCGCTCGGAAAAACAACAACTAGCTCTTCTTCCATTGACTTTCTCCTCAACTCCAAACCACAGGCGACGCCAATATATATTTTTAACCAATTTCTTGAATTCCGTATTGTCTGTAGCTTGAAGTTTTTTCGGAAATTCGTTTAGTCGATTAATATCAACAAAGTTTTCCATATGTTCTTGAGTCGGGTTATCAATAGATCTACAGTAATCCATAATGTATAATAATTCTTTTATAAACCTTTTATCATTTTGATTCACTTTATTATCGCACCGTCCCATTTCATTATCGGTTTTTCATTGTTCGAGTAGGAAATATTTTCATAGGTAACTTGTACCTTTCCTTGACATAGGTTGTATCTCCTTTTTGATTGCTATTTGATAGCATGTACTGACGTCAGGTAGTCCTTCTTTGCGAAAGGATATGATATTCCTTATCGTTAAGCATCGTATGGACAAATAATCGCTATAAGAGATTTGAAAGTAATTTACTTCCAAAAAATCTTTCCAGCAAATGAGCCCCCTTAACTTAAAACTTTTTGATGTCAGTATAAAGTTTTTTGCTAAACTGTAATACAGTCAAACCTCTTTATACCGATACGAGTGGCACCGGCCATTTGCATCGGTATAACGAGTTTATCGGTATAATC